ACTGTCACGTACATAGAACAGAATTGGATCGAGCAGATCCAGACGTAAAGTTTGCTGGAACTGTACTGAATGCAGCAATTGTTGAGGGAAGTGCCACAGTTGAAGCAGTGATATTGTATGCGAAATGGGCACTGAAGTACGACATCTCGAAGTTTCATGTGGTTCACCAGGTACTTGAATGCTTCTGTACATTATTCGTTTGTTCAGTTGTTTACTTTACTTTATGAGTTGAAGATATTCTTTCACTGATGCATAACAGACTGCAGTTATGAGCACTTGTTCTGATATGGCACTAACGCAGAAAAGGAAGTTTAGAAAATCTTGAGCCCCGGCCAGATTTCGCGCAAAAGCGCCCAAACTTCTCTAACTTCTCTTCACCTGCTCTCATCATTCCTCACACGAAAAAGTGAAGAGACATTAGAGAAGTCTGGGCGCTTTTGAGCAAGGTTCGGCCGGGGCCTAAGGGTTGCGACCTACAACACAATATTGTCTGCTCAGCTTTCTACTGCAGAAGGAGTATTACGGTACATCATTTGTTAGAAGTGTAAACTTCAATTCAAGTTCTCAGTTATCTTGTACTTGAGCATCAAAAAATTCAAACCTTTACGAGTTATGTTCCCCACCCATGTTCATTCTCCCACAACCAGACCAAAAAATTTTTCAGAATGGTCTCAAGCTTTTCAAAGGCGCTGGACTAGATCATTTTATGATAGAATGGACAAAGCTTGTTCAAAGTCTGGCTAATGATGTGCCGAAGGTAAACGATATGATTTCCAGAGATTTTTCTGAGTTAGTTCTGTTTAGGACGATGAAGGGGTTGAAAAAGAAGTGAAGGCTATCTCACCCAAACCAAAAGCCAAAGAAGAAGAGTGCATAAGTAAGTTGTACCTAGTTAATTGACATTAGGGGCAGACATGTCTTATGTCGCAGACAAGCTGTCTTAACCTTAGTCTTTTGATTTTAGCTACCGTAGAAATTGAAAATGAAGAGAAGGGACTTAAAAAGCCTACAAAACGGAAAAGCGTAGTGCGAAAAGGCAGTCCGCGGAAAGTAACCAAGTTGAGGTGATATTTGTAGAAATCGCGTTGAACTTACCTAATAAATTGTCCTGCTTATGCATACTGAAACTTCGTTGTAGGAATCATTCTTGATCGCTG